TAAGTTAAGGAGTGTCAGGAGAAGGGTAAGCATCACTCAAAATCTTTTCCCCCTCTTAGAACAGAATTAGCTCATCTTCAGGTTATTTGGAGTAAATTAGGCAGAAATATGACTTTGTTATTTTTCCTTACCTAGAGATGTGGTTTGGGTTAAGGAGATGTGTTCTGAGTGCCAAGTTAACAGGTTGGACTGGTTCAATCTTGATTTTCAGCTTGACAAGATTGAGGGATGTCTAGAAAACTGGCAAAGCACATGTCTGCTGGGTGTGTCTGTGAGGGTGTTTCCGGAGGAGACTGTGTGGGGTTGGTGAACTGCGTGGGAAAGATGCTCTGTAAATATGGACAGTTCCATCCAATAGGCTGGGATCCAGGATGCGAGTCTGTTTTCTATTGTTGTTGTTGTTGCCATTGCTGTTTTCTCCTGTTATTGTTGCCTGCAGCCATCAGATTCCTAATTCTTGTGTGTGTGTGTGTGTGTGTGTGTGTGTGTGTGTGTGTGTGTGTGTGTGCATGTCCGCATTTGGACTCACTATATAGTCAAGGCTGACCTCTAACTCACTGTGGTCCTCCTGCCTCAGCCTCCTGGGTTCTGGAATTACAGGTGCATGGTATAGTGCTTGGCCAGACTCTGTCTAGATTCTTCAGCTTTGGAATATGATCTCACACCACAGAATCTCCAGGGCACTTTCCGGCCCTGAGCCTTGCACTGGCGCAATGTCTTTGGTCCCTCTTCTTTTGAGACTGCTAGCTTCTTGGACTAAGCAGCTACCAGTTTCCTTTTATCCCCCAACAATTGATGGCCACTCTGGGACTACCCAGCCTCTGCTTAATTAAACCAATCAGGTAAATCCACTTTTAAAATTATATATACAGTAAAACCTTGGTTTGCGAGCATAATTCATTTGAGAATCATGCTTATATCTAAAACACTTGCATACTGAAGTGAATTTCCCCATAAGAAATAATGGAAACTTGGATGCTTCATTCCACAACCCAAAAATACTCAGATAAAATGATCACAATATGTAATATTTTTAAAGTAATAAAAATTCAAAATATGAAAAATAAATCAATCATTTGAAAACTTGGAAATCTTTGAAAACCTTTGCTGCTGATGTGAGGGAGAGAAGAGAGAGGAAGGTCACCGTGTTGAACAAATTTCACTGTCACTAACAGAATCGCTGCTATTTGTTGGCTCAGTGGAATCTTCTTCTTTTCCTGCCACTTCAACAAGGAACCTACCCTTTGACACTTGTTTTTGCCCCTTTTGAAGATTTTATGGAAACATGCCTTGTATTGTATTTAAATAGATTCACTGCTTGTACAGCTGCAGCCTTATTCACCTGGTGTTTTCTATAAAATTTTGCAGTGTTTCCCACATTTTACACAACTTTCTAATCTCATTTGAAGTGAGAGGTTCCCCTAGTTTTTTCTCATCCTCTGCACACAAGATCCTTTATACAGCCTTATGCTGTTGGGGGATGATTACCCACAATTCCAGAGAGACAGACAGACAGACAGACAGATACACAGAGAAAAACTATTGGCTCAGTTGTGATCCTATGATGTTCAGTGTCACATACTACTCATATTGCAAGATATCACTCATTTGTTAAGTTAAAAATTACTAGAGGGGCCGGGGATTTAGCTCAGCGGCAAAAGCGCTGCCTGGCAAGCGCAAGGTCGTGAGTTCGGTTCCCGATACCGGAGAAAAACCAAAAAAAAAAAAAAAAAAAAAAAAAATTACTAGAAATGTTTGCTTGTCTTATAGAATACTCATAGAACAAGTTATACACAATCTAACGTTTTACTGTATATATTATATTTGCTCTGGAAATCCCACCATAATTGTAAATATTACTATTATTATATATATATATATATGATGTAGTAATGACACTTTATTCATTTCATTAATTTATTTTTCCTTCAAGAAGTGCTGTGGAGTGCTGAATAAGTGCCTGTGTTTGAGCTATAATTATTCAATGACACTCCAGAGAAACATATCTCTTACCCATATAAAGCTTAAAAGTTGACAAGAGAAAACAGAAAATAGGAGTGGTATGATAAGGCTATTCTAAGCCATGGTACAGAAGATACACTTCACCCTAGAAAGGCAATTTAGTAGATTTCAGAGTTACAAACTTCATAGTTACAAAAACTATAAACCATAGGGAGAACATAGTTTAGTATATTTATGTATATTTTAGTCATGATCCAATATATACTCTCCAACATATATATTTAAAATATGCATACTGGCCTAGTATGCACATATATATATATATAATATATATATAATATATATATATATACACATATACTCAATATTATTATTCTCATTTTACAGTGGGTGAATCTGATGCTGGTTTATGTTTTGTGAAACAGACAAAAAACCAGAATGTATGTTTAGAACAACTGTAAAATTCAATTGTGTATTCTGGGCAAGTGCTTTGAACTTTGAAATCATCAGTTATATATAGACAATTTATCAGGCCATTAATATGACCTTATGAAAAAATGTTAGGGTGAGTATAAATGTAATAAAAGGAAGCTTACAATTAAAAAATATGTGCAAAAATATGTGCAATATTACCAACATTTAAAATATGTACCAAGAATGAAGCCCATATGGAAACATTTAACACAACAGCTGGAAGGACGATGAAAATTATAAGAAGAAAGAAAATTTCTAGAAGATTGTGCTTTGGAAACCCATGGGAATGAAGGAGAAGTTTTATTGGACCTCATCTAAGTGAATCTGAGAGGGGATATAAGATGCGATTTATAAGCGTGCTTTGGACTTACAACCAAGGAAGACTTGGTGGTCTTATGAAGAGACAGTTATAATTTAGGAGGCAGACAAATGTTGAGCTTCTGAGATTTTAAAAATATTCTCTTCCTATTCTGCAGAGGCATGTGAAAACTTGTGAGGAAATGGGAAGAATATGGAGTTTGAGGGGAGGGTTTGTTTTTAGATAAAAGGAGGTGCATTTTTAGAGGAAAATTTCCTCTCTGCCTTCTGAAGTTTCAGTGAATTGAGTTGACAAAAGGCAGATTTGTAAGGGAAAAAGTCATACAAATGTATTTGATCATAGTTTTATGTGACACAGAAGCCTTTAGATTGAAGACCCAAAAACCTAGTATGAACTGTTTTTACACTTAAGTTCAGCGAAACAGGAATAGTCATGTAGAACTGAGATTAGACAAGGAGAACGAACTAATGGAAACAGACTGAGGGGGAGAGCAAGCAAGGCTTGTGCAGTTTCTTCTGAGCCACTCAGTTGTACTATTTCTTTTTCCTGAGTATGGGGCAAGATCTCCCCGGAATGAAGTTTTAGTTCCCTTATGCCAGTTGCTACACTCAATCATGGGACAGTCAGAATAATACTGTTGTGTATTATGTCTGGTTTTGGGAAAAGGAAATCTATTTTCTAAGACCAAACTTGGTCTTAGTGGAATTGTAGTTTCTGTGACTTACCTTGGGAGAGAGGGAGTGGTAAGCTACAGGAGGCAGGAGGAGGTGAGAGAAAAGCTTTCCTTCTGAGGCCCCATTTCTGGGTTTTCTGAGCCATAACAGAGGCAAGGTAGAGGAGGAATGGTTATCTCCTTAACTTTGAAATTAAACATTTTATTTTATACAAGAAGTTTGTATGTGTAATTCCATGAAAAGTTATTGGAATTCTAGCAAGTTAATTGGAATCTACCACTTCCAGTGTAACCCATGGTAAGAATAGACACTAATGCATATTTGTAGTTGTGGGGAGCCAAGGGGTCCTAAGTCCAGCCATGATGATGACTAACTGGAACAAAGGCCTCGACCCAGGACCAAACTCAGGTTTTATTCATTTGTGAAGAAGGGAGTGGTTTGAGGGTGAGTGACTGTGAGAGTGGCGGGAAATACGTGAGTGCCGTGAGCTGGGCTAGGTGGGAGGCCTGAAATTACCTCTGCCACATGCAGAGAGAGGGATCTGGGGAAAGAGTCATCTGCATAATTCACTTGATATAGTATCTAATGTTTTGGGGTCCGTGCTTCAGAGCTGATGTGTAATCTTTGAAGCCCCAGGAAGTCATAGCCTCTATTCCCGAGGCTCGATCCCAGCTGACAGCGTGGAGCATTGGCTCACACATCCCGCCTCATCCAGGCTCACTGGAGGGAGCAACAGGGGGTCAAGAAAACACTCCTACCATCTCCAAAGATTACCATCACCTGGGCTGGATCAATGTGCTTTGCTTAAAGCCAATTGAAGGAATAATGAAAAGTCCTGGCCAGCTGTGTACATATCAATACATGGAAATAGGGTCAGGCCCAGTCAAAATGGAAGCAATTGCTCCCCTTTTAAGGAGAGTCACACAGGTGGTCCTCCACAGTACTATATGCAGTATTTTATTAAATTTAATTATATAACTATGGGAGACACAATGTATTTAGGGTTTAAACTATAACATTAGGCATTTATAGGCATTTTTCTGGCCTTATCTGAAATTCCTGGTTTTCCACAATTTGTGGGTGCTCTAGAAATGTAACCTCCACAAATTTCAAGGGTTATGTATTCATAGAAGTTTCCTAATATTTGAGAATATTAAAGAAATAAACTTAAAATGTACTTTTCCATAGCCACTTTCCCAGAATGACTAAATCATTCTTGGTCTTTCTTCTTCAGAACTGCTTTATAGTTGCATCTTACCCTTTCCTGTGAGGATGCAGTTTTTAAATTCTTTTAGCCAATATTCCAGAGTTTATGTGGTTCAGCTGATTAGAATATGATGCAACAAACATCTTTATTTATAATATTCTTGGTTTTTTTCATGGACAAAGAAATAACAATATTTCCTAGGAATTAAATATGTAGGTCAGAGTCCATGTGCCCTTTCAGTTTTGAAAGTGTAATCTAAGATGTTACATTTCTGTTTTGAAAAGAAGCAACCTCTAGTGCTGAGCAAAAGGATCTTAAAAAGTTCTTTCAGTCAAATTTTCCTATATTTTTTGTTCCTCTCTAGTGGTCTAAGCTCAAGTCTGCTCTCTGCAACAAACATTTTACATCCCGCTGTTAGTCATTCCAATCCTAGCTTCTTCAATGAACAGAAACCATAGAAAGCAGTGAGTATATGGGGTGGGATTAGTCTTTGCCTACTTGATCTATTTTTCTTATCAGAATGTTCCTTGTAGATCTTGCAAAATAGCTGAGTTATCTTTATCAAAGATTATGACCCAGTTTTTTAATTCACATTGCAGCATAAGAAAGACATAATTAACTGGATCTTAGATTTGTTTCTTAGTTTTTGATTTAATGCTTTCTTGGTCCAAAATTTCACCCACCATTCTATGAAAAAATAAACATTCCTGACCATAGAAAGAGACCCATTTTTCCAGATTTGTATAGTTTTCCCCAGTGCTTTGTGGGGAATTGTTGCTAATTATCTGCGAAGTAGCATATCCTAGAGCTTTGTAACTAGACTCACCTGCAGTTCTCACTGGCTACTAATTCTGAAGCATGAGAAAATGAAGGGTCCAGGTTCCACAGTTACTAATGATACAGTTCCTACATTCTAGGTTTCTCTTGATACTTCACTCATGTACAAGATGAGAACAGGTGATATATTATAGAAATACCAATTAAAATTGGTGTGATTTATGGTTAGACAAGTGTGTAAAAAAATTAGGAGGATGGCTTAAAAATAGTTGCAGATAGATAATAGCAAGTAGGGAGATAGATCTTTCTCAAAGGGGGAGTGGATGAGGAGATGTAGGGAATGGCGAGGTAAGAGAGAGCAAAGAGTGAGGGGATGAAAAAAGGAGATTAGGATGTGTTATGTAAACACACCAGCACTGCAATGGCAAGCAGAAACACCGAAACTACACCCAGGATTTAGAGGCAGATTTATTTACATTACAGGCACTTACCTGGATTGTTCCCAGAACACCAGGCCCTGATCTCTGGTGGTCTAGGGCGTATATGAGATTAACACGATATGAGATTTGTGAGGCAGAATGGCTTGTCAGCTGGAGACTGGTTTGTACAATGTGCATCACAGTGACCAACTGTTTCTAAGGGCCAACAACAACTGGATCTGAAAGAACTAGTACCTGGGCAACTAACAAACTGAGGTATACTGGCTGGTGGGAGGGGCATTTTCTGCTTTATACCCATACAGGGAATGGAAACACGGAATGGAAACACGTACAAAAAAGAAACAAAAAAGGAAGAGGATCAAGAGATGGGTGAAGGGAAGAGGGAGAGAAGGGAAAGGGATGAAAGGAAATGTGTTATATATGTGTACCAACTTCCCACAAGAAATGCTAGCATTATGTACTGCATACGTGCACTAATAAACTAAACTAAAATTTAAAGAAATTTTAAGATATCCTAAAAAATAATTGCAACAGGCTGGGTATCAGATGAAAACGGAATGACTTCATTCAGGCTGTGACATTAACTCTGTGGAGTTAAAGATGTATATAAGAAGTATGAGAGAGATAAATTCAAGACAAATTATACCACTAAACAAGAAGTAAGTCATATATCTTTGCACCTGACAGTATATGGCACAACTAGCTATTTTAGTGTCAGGTTACACCACCTTATTAAGAACTAACTGCTTTTTAAAGGCGTATTTTTAATTTAATTCTTGAGAAATGAACATTTTGAAAACGGGGCCAGTCACTTTCACTTCTTTAGGCTACTAATAGTATTTTACATGGAAAGGATTTGATAAAATGGGTGGGTGATGCACTTGCCCTAGGAGTTTCCTCCAGTCTAATCAGAGCTCATGATGCTCTGGGTATTAACACAGCATGCAGAAAATCTGGCCCTGATCACAAGCTACTAGAGTAGCCAGGCCAAAGCTGGATCTTGTGGTGGGTTCCTTCAGCCAATACAGAATCATCTTGGGGTTTCAATAACACTCACCAACAGATTAGCCATCCTTGGGGTTCAAAAAGAAAACTTTGATGCAGAGCTCTAGAAATATAAGAAGCCCAAGAGAGAAAACGGTTGAAAGCCAAGCAATAAGAAGACAACTGTGAATGCAAAGCCAGCCCTCTGTTTGAACAAGATGCAAAGAAAAGGATAATTACATGGAATCAGAAAATATCTCTACAATCTTCAGAGAAGCAGAACCTTCCAGATCTCTGTGTATATAACATGTGCACGTTCATCAAAGGAAGAGTCAGCATTTAAGATGAGGACTGACTGGGTTTAGAAAGTAGGTAGATATCTCTCCTGATTTTATGCCTCTGTCTATTTCTGTAGAACTGGTTCAAGGTGGCAGCTTAGAAAGAGAACTACTAACTAGGGAGAAACAGGAATGATGCGACTTCTAGGAGTCTCCTTGCCAGGGAAAGGCATAACAGGATGGGTCACACTTCTAAGAAGGCCAAATACAAACCACGGAGAACAGAAGACTGAAGCCTGAGCCGATGTGAGATTTTGGTCCTGCAGAAACAGGGCATCCAGGGCTGGGGATTTAGCTCAGCCACAGAGCACCTGCCTGGGAATTGTGAGGTCATGAGTTCGATTCCCGGTACCAGAGAAAAACCAAAACAACCAAAAAAAAAAAAAAAAAGAAGGAAAAAAAAGAAACAGAGCATCCTCTGGGTACCTCACAAAGCTGAGAGCAGAAGTTCAGGGAGGGTGAAGATCAGTCACACATGGAAACAGAGAGTGCTTGGTATACCTGCCACACACAAACTCAGCAATCAGTCCTTGAAGTGCCAGGGATGTAGGTGTTGGGATTTCAGTATTTCTACTGAGCTGGGCTGGGCAGTTTAGCTTCATGGAAGCTCGTAAATATCACTTTTGTCCTTTGCAGGAAGCAAATCTTAAACAATGTATGCCAGCTTCAGTTTAAGTAGGAAGATCATATGGTGAAAAGGAAACAGTATAGTCATTTTTTAACATATAAAAAAATCTGTGCACAAAAATATATACCTAGCTATTGAACAGTAGCTATTGTTTTGCTTTTTTTCACTTTTGTAAGGATTAGTAATTGGTGAGCATTTCTTTTGCAATATTTAATCAAAATATAATTATGCAAACATGCAATTTTAGGTGAAATTTTATATGCATTTTCTTTGAGAATTTGGCCAAATATTATCTTCCTATAATACTCACATGAATAAAGTTAGTGGAGTTTATCTGAACTATGGGAACAAGTGAAAACGTTAAGAACAAATCTTAACATGCCTCCTATTTATTCATTTACTGTATTATTATAAACTGGATGTTTCTCAGTCTTATTTGAAGTCACTCATATTAAATGAAAAGAGGGGATGGAATAGCGTTTCAAAGTGGGAGCTGAAGATGCAATGTCTCAGAAAATAATACTGCAAACTGTGCTGTGCTGGTCTGCTGACTACTTCGAGCAGAAGGAGACTGCGAAGGCGTCTCTCTTTCCTTACTTCTGTTTCCTTTCTCCCTCTGTGCACGTTATAGAAACCAGAACTCCTTTCAGCTCAGGCACATAGAAACTGGACCTCTTCTAGCCTTCTCCTCAAAGCAAGCCATCAAGCCTGGAAACGTCTGATCCAGCTTCCCGGAAAGCAAGTCATAAAACGGTCCATTTAGTGAGCTCTTGATCCATTTGTGGGGGAGGTACTCCCCATAGAGAGACCATGCAAAATCTAAACTGACCTCTCTATCCAGTGATGGTTCTCCATAACTATCCATTTTTTCATCAGCTCCACAGACAAATTGTTTCATTTTTGAAAGGACTATTGTCATTGAAACGTTGATTAATGCTATGTTTTTCTTTTGTCAATCTGTCTTTTATTTTAAGAGTGTCAATCAGGGCCCTTTAATCTGTATTTTTTCTTTTTTTTGTCCTATGAAGAATTACTGAGGAATCAATTCAGAAAGGTTTGCTGAAAATGATCACAAAAGAGACAAAGCTTCCTCAAAGGCTTAGATAAAAGAAATCATTGTATATTTGTAGAGGTCTATTGCTCTGTTAAAGAAAACATCAATTCATTAAAAGTTTCTTCATGTTCTTAGTTTTAAATTACATGCAGAAGTTATTTTATGATGAGAATAAAATAATAAAATGTTTTATGTTATAAAATATTAATATGTGGTGTGCTTATTCCTTTTCTAAGAGTAGCTATACATCTAAGTCAAGAAGCTAGTGTTGAATCTTTGCACTATTAAGGCGTTTCTCTGAAAAGCTAAACTAATACAGTATAGGTTGTTTTCTAAGAATTGTTAGGACATAAAATAAAGCTTAACACATTTTTTCAGTTGAAGATAGCAACTTGCTACTACACAATGAAATTTAGTGAAATCAAGATGATTTAAATATTTTGATTATAGTAGCAGAGAAAATATAATGAACTGTAAATTTTTTGCTTTCTATATATGTGCATGTATTGCATATCATAATTATAATTAGTAAGAAAGTGAAATATACATCTGTAAGTCATCACCATAAAAATTTAAGCATTAGATATTGAAAATATCAACTAATAATTTTTTTCTTGGATTTTGTTCTTCACCAGATACAAGATTTAATTAAGCTTAACCATGATTTGTTATAATAGTTAAGCAATATTTGCTTTTTACACATAAATGCAATAAACAAAGAAGCCAGTACTTACAGGTTAATAACCTTGTTGTCCTCATAAACTGAAACAAAGCAAAATTTTCTCATCTTTTAAACTTGAAGTGCCTTAGAAAGATGGTATAAACTTTTTGAAAACAACCTGCTTTAATATTGCTTTTTAAATTTCAGATTGCTGCATAAATAAGATTGAAATTGAAGAGATCAAATTTATGAATCAATGACTTAAGAAGTTTAAAAGCAGAACAGTAATTTTAACAGCAAGAAAATAAGAAGCATCTGTTTATCTAGATTTAATTTCCATTGTAAAACCCTCACAGTAAGTTTTCCTCCTGGTAATTGCAGAGATTTCAAAGACATCATGCATGCTTGCCAGTATTGCGCTATGAAGAACACATATTTTCTTGTAAAACAATAATAGTTTTTATAGGAATGGTTATTTTTCTTTAAAGAGAAATAGATATTACCATATTATAATCCTTAGGCTAGTGATACAGTTTCTATTCCACAAGGCAAATGCACTTATTTTATGGCTGAGTGAGCCCATTAATTAAAATTGTACTATAAATCCCCCAATTCCTGCCAGAAAAGAACAGAGCATCTGTCTTTCTCAAAAACAGACAACCTGGCTCTGAAATATATGCTCCTGCCAGCTTATCCCGTAGGGCAAAGCACATTTCTCCCCTTACGACCTCACTTTGAGCAATTTAAATTAGGAAAAAGAGTCGGTATTTAATTCTGACCTGAACTTACTCCTGCACATTGCAACAGACTCTTTATGACAGTAATTACTTCTGGATGTTGAGATAAGCTGCTTACTCACTGAAATTATTTACATGAAATAAAGTACAATGTTGCAGGGGGCTCTTAGCAAGGAACAGAAACAAAGCATTTGGAAATTTAAGAAGTGTGATTTACTATGTAAATCTAATTATAAGAGATGGATCACCCAGTATTTAGAAACTGAAAGTTTTAATTTCCCAATCCATAATAGGGGTCAAGTAGACCAATGAAAGAAAGTAAGTGTGTTAAGCTTTCACATGAAGGAGAGAAAATTCAAAGTGTATGATGTTCTAGGACTGGAAAAGGTGTAAACGCTAGAGACATAGCTGAAAAGGACCTCAGCAGAGTTAAGCTAGTGTTTCTCTAAATCCTGATTACAATTCTGGAATAGATTAAACGGATCCACTGTGGTTGGAAGATGTGTCATTATTGTACGGTAGGTAAAGGCAAAGGAAACATTCTTCTCTAGTGTCAGAAAATTGGCACCCTCTCCTTTAACCCATTCATGTGCTAGTTAACCTGCTTAAAATAAGTATTGTGAGTAGTTACATGTTCTCAGGGATTCTGTTAGGTACTTTGATACTGAAAAAATTAAAAAGAGGCCTCAGTCCTTGAGGAATTTCTGACAGAAAAAACTGATACTGAAAAATAAATTTTAAGTGTAATAAATGACACCTTACAAAGAAGAAAGGAAAAGAAATGACAGTACTAGGGAAAACTTGGAGGCATATTATTGTGCAGTCAACTTGAAATTTTTAACCAATAAAATTAAAAAGATAATTCTCAAAAGACAGACATTTAGAAAGGAGTCCTAATGTGGTTTGTTTACCCTCTGATTTCTTAGTTAATTTCCAAGGTATCCCAGCAGTGTCTCTATATTGGATCTAATTATTCTGAGAATGTCATCATTTTCCTCAAAATAATTTCATTTCTTTATTCACTGAGCAACTAATGAAGCTTTGTTTTCCCATATTGCAAAAATGAAAGTGTTACAAATTGACTTTAATAATAGTTAAAGTACTTTTGTTACAAGTGACATGAATTGTCTTTCACTAACTTAAGAAAAAAACAAAACCAACCAACCAAACAAGAAAATCTCACGGTATTTATTGGAATATTCCAGTAAATATTTAATTAGAAAAAATGGAAGAGAAATAGCAAGGCTGGTTCACTAATAACATTCAGAGAGAAGCTTGCAGATGTGAGATTTGGACAGGAGCTAGCGGGCGGAAGAGCTGTAAGCGGGGAGCTGAACAGGACGGAGAAAGTTGCTGGTGGAAGAGAGGAGTGCAGCAAGCTGGCTTTTGGCTGGACGGGGATTCCAGCCCATGAGTGAAGCTGAACGACAGGAAACTGCTGTGACTTTCTTAAGCCCTTAACACATGAGTCTATTTAAGAACATATTGCAGAGGGAAAATTTATTCACCGTCAATCTTTAAAATTGAGGGTACATGTAGTGCAAACATTTCTATACAATGAGGCACAGTTATAAAAACAACCAAAAGCCCTCCTTTGAACTTGGAGTTTTAATTCAATCTCTAGTTGAACAGAGAAAGAACAGATCATGAAAGTTTCACGTGTACACGCATAAAATCACTGGAATTTATAAGTCTCTTTACAAAAGAAGTGCAGAATAATCCTTTGGCCTAGAATTTGCTCTGTTCTGTTTGAAATTACAACACAAAGCAAATAAAACTAGCCTTCTTTTAAATTAAATATCTGAATGCTTCTTCATCCTTTTCTTCCCCTTTTACAGAGATACTAGAAATATCAGGATGAAACTCTTTCACTATTTTGGGCCAAAAACGTCTGTATCTGACACCTGTGGTCCCTTCATCCTGTTATAACAAAGCATCCAGATTTCCTCTCTACTATTTTGCAAATCATTTACAAAAATCTATTGTTTTTCACTCTCTTTTATCCAGATGTTTCCCTTTATTATTTAAAATTCTCCCATCACTTCTTTCTCTACCATTCCTCTGCTTGGTGCCCTTCTGCAGTCTTCCCTCTATCTCCCTGTATAACTCATAAAATATCAAACACTTCTCCAGCAAATACAAATGCTTCTTTATCAATTTTTATATTAGCCTCCTTTGAGTCTGTGTTCCCTTCCTGTGAGGTTTATTGAGATACACTGTCATAGTGTACATTGTCTCTACTTTCTGACAGTACCCAATATGGTGTGGAACGGTCCCTTCTTACTGAGACAGCCCACGTGTCACTATGGTGTGTGTTCTCCCTCACGGTACGAAGTAGTGAAACCAATTGGTTTTTTAACAGGCATTGACTAGAGTTATATCCTTCTTCATAGAACTTACCCCAGTAATAAATAAATAAATATGTAAATATATAAACCAGTGTTATGGATAAAATGGTCCACTTGATTGGCTTGGGTGATACCAAGATTAGTAAATCGCAGTTCTGGGTGTGTTTATGTGGGTTGTGTTGGCGGGAGTGTGGGAACTATTTCTGGTCCCTGGCTCTTTCCTTTCTGGGGCTGTATCCGTGCTCTCCTTCCTGGTCACCATGAACTAAGAAGCTTTTCATGTCATTCCCTTCCGCCATGATGTTCCTGCCTTGGAACCAGACGACCAGGGAATAAATCCTCTGAAACTGTGAACTCCTTAAGTCTCTCTTCCTTTACCCTGGAGGTAATTTCTCCCACCAACAGAAAGCTGACACATACAAGTGTTTTGTATCTTCCTCCCATGGAAATACAAAGTCCTAGCGTTGGGGTGAGGGCTATGTTGAAATTGTTCATCCGTTACTCTCCAGTGTTTGGTATATCACTTTGAAAATAGCGAAGTTTTGTGTTTTCTTGGTTATATAGCTCCTTCTATGCTTATTGACCTCAATACTGAACTGTGATAAATGCCTTTACCTGTCAATGCTACAGAAATGATTCACTTGTTACTACTATGTCTTTAATTATTGTATGAGCACATCTGTCATCCACATCTGCTTAGATGTCACATTTATAAAAGCACCTATGGTATGCAGTAGTTTATCAGTCCTAGACTCAGAGCATATACACAATAGGTGACAACTGGTTAGACAACCCTCAGAGGCTTGTGATTATTGAAAATGATTCTGTGTCAATAATGAAATTGATATACAGTTTAATTAACCTTGTGAGAGATCCAATATGTGTTATATAAAAATCTAAGAAAAGGAATGCAGGTTTATTTTTGCTATCTATAGGATATGCCAGTGACAGTTTGACAGGAAATTATTCTTAATGTAACCTAGCAGACTCATCAGACTCTATTTTTTTAGAGATGCTGCTTGCTAAGCCACCAATTCTTACTTTTTGGAGATTATCACTGTACTCCAAACGTAACATTTTTGACTAGATTTGACCTTTGTCATCTAACTATGTGGTTTAAAATATAAGTTATAAGTATAGTTTGACACTTGTATGACTTAAGGTTTTGATTACATAATTCAAATTTTCTTATTGAAAACATCTTAGAATCTTTGTACACATACATGATGTTTACCTTTAATTATGGCCACAAGAGAAGAAAAAAAGCTGGGGAGGCCCTGTGTGTCCCTCTGGAAGGGCTGTACCTTTGCATATTCATTTCCTGCTCATTTCTCTCCTCACCTCCAATCC